TTGAAGAATACACAAATGAATGGAAAGAGACATCACGTTCATGAACTGGAATAGCAAATGTTGTGAAAATGTCTATACTTCCCAAAGCAATCTACAGATTCAGTGCAATCCCTATAAAAATACTAAGATGTTCTTCATAGAAATAGAAAAAAAAACCCTAAAATTTTGTAGAACCACAAAAGACCCTGAATAGCCAAAGCAAAGTAAAAAGTAACAAGAACAAAGCTGGAGGCATCACACTATATGACTTCAAAATAAACTACAAAGCTATAGAACCAAGACAGCATGGTACTGGCATAAAAACAGACACGTAGACCAATAGAACAGAATACAGAGCCCAAAAATAAATCCACACAATTACAGCCAACTGATTTCAACAAAGGTACCAAGAACACACAATGGGGAAAGGAAAATCTTCAATAAATGGTGTTAGGAAAACTGGATATCCACATGCAGAAGAATGAAATTAGACCCTCATCTCTCACTATATACAAAAATCAACTCAAATGAATTAAAGACTTAAATGTAAGATCCAAAACTGTGACACTATTAAAAGAAAACATATGGGGAAAGCTCCATGACATTGGTTTGGGGACCTCAAAAGCACAAGCAACGAAAGCAAAAATAGACAAATGAAATTATACCAGATGAAAAAGCTTCTGCACAGGAAGGAAAACAGTTAACCAACTAAAGAGATAACCTAGAGAATGGGAGAACATATTCACAAACTATATATCTGATAAGGAGTTAATATGCAAAGTACACAGAGAACTCAAATCACTCAATAGCAAAAAAACAAAAAACAATGCAATGAAAAAATGGGCAAAAGATCTGAATAGGCAGTTCTCAAAAGAAGACACAGAAATGGCCAATAGGTATATTTAAAAATGCTCAACATCACTAATCATCAGGGAAATGCAGTTAAACCACAATGAGATACCACCTCACTCCAGTTAGAATGGCTATTATCAAAAAGACAAAAAACAACAAGTGCTGGCAAGGATATGGAGAAAAGGGGGTCCTTACACACTGTTGGTGGGAATGTAAATTAGCCATTATGAGAAACAGTAAAAACATTCCTTAAAAAATTAAAAACAGAACGAGCACATGACCCAGCAATCTCACTGCTGGACATTTATCCAAAGGAAATGAAACCAGTATGTTGAAGAAATACCTGTTCTCCCACGTTTATTGCAACATTGTTCACAATAGCCAAGATATGAAATCAACCTAACTGTCCATCAGTGGATGAATGGATAAAGAAAATATGGTATATATACACAAGGAATACTCTTCAGCCGTATAAAAGAATGAAGTCCTATCATTTGCAACAACATGGATAAACCTGGAGGACATTAAGTAAAGTAAACCACCACAGAAGGACAGATACCACGTCATCTCACTCATACATGGAATCTAAAAAAATTGGTCTCATAGAAGCAGAAAATAGAACAGTGGCTACCAGAGGCTGGGGAATGAAGAGGGGAGAGGGGAAGGAGGGAGGTTGGTCAAAGGGTACATAACTATAGTTAGAGAGGAGTAATAAATCCAAGAGATCTATTGTGTAGCAAAGTGACTATAGTTAGTGACAGGTTATTGTATCCTTGAAAAATGCAAAGAGTGGATGTTAAGTGCTCTCGCCACAAAAATGATAATTATGTGAGGTAATACCATCATTAATTAGCTAGATTTGACTATTTCACAATGTATATACACTTCAAAACATCATGTTGTGCATGATACATACAATACAATGCTATCTGTCAAATTTAAAAAATAAAACTCCATTTCTGACTCAGACCCCTTGATCTTCGCATCATCTCCTATTTCTCACACTTCTTAAATCTAGTTCCTGCCTCCAGACAAAGTAGAATCTGTGATCACTCTTTAACACACATTATCTGCATTTATTTGTTCATTCCACCAACACCAACAAAGTAAATCTTGACAGATGTCTGGCCCTTGCTGAGCTCCAGAGATAAATCCCTGGACAACACAGAAACAGTTCCTGCCTTCACTCAGCTTTCCATCTTCAAGGTAGACACAGAATTTAACAAAGACAGGCAGTTGGCTTGACCATCAGCCAGACGCCATCAGCCAGGGAGAGCCCCTCCCCCATCCCATCATCCCCTGAAACATTTTCAGCAAATTGTGCAGGATTAAAGAAACAGCTCTGCCTCCTCGGTAATTAAAAGAATCCTGACCAACGTCCCAGGTAGTCAAGCGGCCACTCAGAGTTGAGACACTCCAAAATCAGGTGCTTCCTACATAATAGCCTCCAATCTGATACTTGATAGCCGCTGGTTTCCAGAGTCAAACAAATGTCAGGAATTTTATGAAGGAAGGCAGGAAGCAAATAAGGGGGCAAGGACTGGGGTCTAGGCCTCGGGGGAGCTCAATTAGTGAGCCAGATAAAGTTAAACTGAAAGGGCATGCTCTTGGTTTCCTAGAAAGCCAGCTGGAAAAGATGCCAATCCTTAAGCCTCTGTCACTCAAAAGATTAACAGAAGAGACTTAGGAGTGCCCACAGGGAATAATGCAACAAGCCAGATGTTTCTGCTCCTCGGATGACGCCGCTCTCAACAACCAGAGCTACACTTTTGAGGCCACCAATAAGCCATAGAAAAGAACTGGAGTCTTTGGGGATAGGTTGAAATTCAGTCATTTCCCTTAAGTGATACAGATACCAAAAAAAAAAAATGTTAATAATTTCTCTGCAAACTCCCCTGATGTATCCAGGTTCTGTATTTCTCATCAAGCCATCTCTTTCTTTAACAGAAATGGCAGCACTCAGATGAACACTCGCTACAGCTGCATGGCGGTGGGAAAAGCATACAATCTTTCAATCCATATAAACTGGAAGCTCAGGCAAGTCGATTGGCCACCCTGAGTCTCACTTTGTCATCTTCAAAATGGCTTTTAAAAGACCCACCCACTTGTTCTCGTTGGAATAAGAGATCATGTAAAGTGTCCAGCCCAGATGTTCATAAGTGGTAGCTCTTGTTACCTATAAACACAACCAGGTAACCACATGCTCGAGACAGCACCTTCTCCTTGGTACTTTCTAAACACACCAAGATGCGTGTGCGCATGTGTGTGTATGTTTGTGCGTGTATTTGAGTGAGAGAGAGAAAGAGGAAAAAAAAGAAAGAGGGGGAGAGAGAGAGAGAGAAGCAGCTTGGACATACACCAGCCTATTTACAATTCCTGCTTACGTTCCATCACTTCTATCAGATTAATAAACTAGAGGAGCTGGAAGGAACCTAACCATGGTGCCTGATTTCCCCTCAAGTCCCTAGCTTTCCCCTAAAGGTTGCTTCCTCTGATTCCAGGAGGCCAGGAAGGAGAGCCATATGGCTTGAGACTCTAGACAAGCCCAGGAGCAAACAAATGAGCCCCCCACCATTTGTCTCAGGGCCTCTCTCCTTTCGACCCTCCTGTGGGCGGCCATCCAGATTTCAGTCGGGGTGCTCTGGTCTGCATCTCTGTCTTGACTGTTCCTAATTATTGGAGGGAACGCATGGCTCGCCTGACCTCAGAGTTTAAGAGCTCCAAGTCCTAATATCAAACCAAGCAGCTTCATTTAAAAGGCATCCTCATCTGCATCCATAAAAGTCACTCCCGGAGCCCTTACTTGCTCCAGCTTTGGGAATGCCTGCTGTCGAGGATTTATGACACGCCCTGGATCTAATCTGCCACACTTTAACTGCTGCTGTTGCACATCTGGTCATAAAAGCAAGGGCTGGCCCAACACGGGGACAAACACTTTTCTTTCCTAAGTGGCTGCAAATCTGATCTCACAGTGATAGCTGGGCTTGGATGTAATCAACCCAGCATCTGGGCAGTCTTTAAGACTTGTCAAGCATTACAAGACTTTTCCTCCACACGACAGCTATAAAGATGATTCTCATATAGCAAAAGCTATGAATAAACAACCTGCAATCTGAACAGGTGGTAAAGGGCTAGGCCCAAGGATGTTCAGGAAAGGAAGCACGAGTTGGTTGAGCCAACCTTGTTTTCGCAAAGATCCTAGCTATTTTCACATGGACTCTTAGGCTGCCAGTTAAGAAGCAATTGCCCTGACATAAACTGATGCTTGGCCAAAGATTGCCTGGATTAAGTTTAGTCGAAAGAACCACTAGGTGGTTTAATAGTACATGTTTTAAGGCAGTGAAATTCTTTATTAGACCAATTGGTAGGGAGTGTTGGGGGGATAATCTAGACCAGAAATGAACACAATGCTGTCGGTTCCAGGAGATTTTACAATGCCCTGGACAATCTGTCCTGTGCACAGAATTGGCAGGTTTCATGTCGTTCAGAAACTCCAATCAGACCAAGGTTCAACAAGTAATTCAACCTCCCAGCACTGAACCCAGGGGAAGAGACCCTTGAACATTGCGCAACTCCCCCCTCCCACCTCTTTACAGTACCCCACCTCTGACCCTCTTCCAGTGCCTGCCCGGCAGGAGGGGACATTAAAATTATCTGCTGTGGGTTTTACGAGCAGTGATCGCTTTTTAAAACAACAACACAAGGTCCTTGTGTGGCTCCCGGGTAACCTAAAACTCTCCAGGCAGAGCTGCACCCACCCCCCCCCAACCCCCGCCGCCTGCCAACAACGCCAGCGCGCTGGACCTGGCGCAGCGTGGGACCACAAGGAAGCCCTACAGGAGCGGAGAGCGAGCTTCTCTCCGACGCAGGAGGCACCTCTGAGGGTCTTGAGCAAAATGCAGGGGAGAAGAGATTGGGAAAGAAAATCCACCAGTGACAGTTCGGGGGCAGGGGAGGGATGGTGCTGCAAGAAAGGGAGGGGTGGTGGCTCCAATGGGAGAAAAAAAAAAATTTCAGCAACTTCACCAACGAAGCCCGCAGGGGACCTGGTAGTAGACAGAGGACAACAGGTCTCCGACATCTCTCTTCCCCCGCCTGCCCCCAGGGATGAGTGGCGAAGCGACCTCGCCTCCCTCCGCAGGTGGGCGCAAAGCTGGGGGCGCACTTACCCTGGGGCCTGTGGTGCGGTGGCCGCGAGCCGGGGACAGCTGCACCAGCACCAGCAGCAAGTGGGGCGTGAGCAGGCGGGCGCAGCGAGCGGGCAGCATGGTGCCAGCCAGGCTGGGCAGCCGGCAGCGAGCGGGGTTCGCGGGCTCCGCGGGGCGCACAGCGCGTCTGGCTTCCTTCCTTCCTTCGCTCGGGGCCCTCGCGGCGGCGGGGAGCGGGCAGCGGTCCTGCGGCGGGGGCTCACAGAGGCTGCGGGCAGAGGACACAGTCATTAACCGCGCCGGAGGGGAGCTGGAGCGCGAGCGTGTGCTCCGCGCGCGTCGCTAGCTCCGCTCGGCGGGGCCCAGGCAGCAGCAGGTTGGACGCCTAAGCCCGGGCCATGGGAATTCCCGTTATAAACCCCCGGGAGGGGCGGGGCGGAGCACGGCGGGCCTGATTGACGGGCCAAGAGGCCTGTTGCAGCCGACCCTCTGGCAGGTGAAAGCCAATGGGAGAGGGGCAAGAGGAGCCGCTAGTGGTCAACCCCCAGCCGAGGAGCTCTGCCGGAGTGGGCCCCGGGAGAGACTGGGATAAAGAGTAACTTTCTCGTGGCACTTCTGCCAGAGGAAGCCTGAGAGAGCCCCAGGAGCCGACACCCACCAGAATGTTCATCTGGCTAATAATAATGCCTTGAGCATGTATATTTCTTAGCTCAAGTTCGTGACTGTCCCAACAGCCCGGTGAAGTAGGCAGGGAAAATACTCCTAGCCCCATTTATCAGATGAGAATGCTGTGACACAAAGGCGCCAAGAGATCTGCCTCCCTGCTGCATTTGGGAAGAACAACTGGGAAGTCGCCGGATGACCCGCCCAGGGTGGGCTGTGGCGTTGGAGTGGAGAATGGGAGCATTGACTTCTTTCAAAGACTCTCCCTGGGGGGTGACATCCTGAGTCTCACAGCGGCTGTCCCAGGAGAAGTCGCAAGGGACAAGGGGAAGCGTGTGCTGGGCACTGGCCGCTGGGGAGGGCCACACACAACCTCCCAGCCCTACGGTCCGTGTGATCCAGGACTGGAACTCAGGCATCCTAGCTTCCCACTCTGAACTGGAGGGCAAGGGGCAGCCTCTCTATAGCGCAGCAGCTCTGGGAGAGGCGGGCAGAGAGGCCCTGGTCCCCTGATGGGAGAGAAGGAGGAAAAGCATAGATGAGGAGGAGGTAGTCTGAGGATGCAGAGATCCCAGAGATGGGGTAGAAAAAGGAGAGGAGATCTCTCCCGGGTGCCCGACCCACTTGGAGAGGACAGCTCAGCGGAGCTTCAGTCAGATGTTGGGGGGCTCTGCCCAGGGCCATCCCCGGAGGGCCAGCTTGGGAATGGTCACAGCTGCATCACACGGGCTCCTCAACAGAGCAAGGTGCTCAGCTGCCTTCAATGAGACTGACATCTCCAGGAAATCACAGGGATGAGGGGGGCAAAATGAAACCCAGAGCAATCTCCTTATGTGGAGAACAACCTTCAGCGCTTACTTCCATCAGTGTGGGCTACTTCGCAGGAAGGGATTATTTTCTATAATTCGATTGTAAGCATCAGTGCCACACTCCTCCTCCCTATCTGGTCTGAGAGGTCCTAAGATTAGCTCTGCTCCCTCAGAGTTTCTCTCCTGGATTCCATGAACCAGCTTCCCACCTGACACCTGAATTCAGTTTTGCCCTCTCCTCACACTGGCCCCATCCAGCCTCCACACAGCAGCCAGTGTGTCTATTTGCTATTTAGAAGCCAGTGATCCTTTTAAGCAGCAAACCGGAACTCACCATTCCCTGCTTAAACGACTTCCCCTCTCCCCAGTGCCCTCAGACGAGAAAGCCCAGACTGGATGCTGGAACAAAAACAAAGTACTTGTGGTTCTCCAAACAAAAATGAAGAGCACTTCTAAAAGAATGGTCTATCTTTTCCTCCACTGGGAATGAGCGCCTTGGTCAGACTCTGGAGCTGGACAGCAGGGTTCAAATCCCCGGTCTGCCACCTAGTGGCATAGCCTTGAACAAGTCACTTGACTCATCCAGGGTCCCGGTTTTCTCTCTGTAAAATGGGGATAAAAATAGTATCCCCCTGCCGTGAGATGTTGTCAAGATTAAAGGAGATGGAGTCTTTAAAGCCTTTAAAATAATTAAGTGAAAAGTATCACAATATGGCATTTGAAGAGGACAGGACAAATGCCTCATCTCATTTTATCCTCAGAACAATCCTCTGAAATAGGTCAGACATCTCTACTTTACAGGTAGATAAGTGAATAATCCATGAGATTATGACTTGCCTGGCCTCATTTGGTTGGCAAAGGACAAAGCAGAGACTCGAGGCAAGGTTTTTGGAGTATGATTCTGCTTCCGTCATGTGATGGCTGCAATCTTCAGTCTCAAATCCCATAGGGTTGGACGTTCCTGTGTGCTAATTGGGAATTTCTTCAGTGGTCTACAAGGTAACTGAGGCTGGTGAGCTCCACTGAGCTTCAGGGGAAGAGGATGTAAACAGCAGGGGTCAGCCTTTCCTGGAAACAGCCCTTGTGATCTGGCATCCTGGAGTTTGCCCAGCTGAACTTGTGACACTTGTCCGGTACTGTGCCCTGTGCAGCATTGATATCAATATCCATGTGTCCACCTAAGTATTCACCCTCCAGGGACTCAACAGGTTGGAACTGTTACCATCGGGCTCAGCAGCGTGGCAGGCTTTTCCTGACTCTACCACCTGGCTGCATGCACCCATCAAGCTGGTCAACTCCTTCCTGTTGCTGGAACTATTGAGAAATCTGCTGGAGTAAGTAAATATGCTTCAGATGGCCCTGAGTATCTGGCAGCACAAAGCACCCAGGGAAAAAGCATTGCAATAGCCCTTTCCATCCCTAACACCAAATGCTGCTTTCCAGCCAGAAAGCTTATTTCCAAGTGTTCACTGGTCCAAAAATCTACATTATTCTGGATTTCAATCATGTAGCTTAGTTCAAACTATGAGTAACTGCTTTCCAGTTACTTTGCTCAGCAAGTATTTTCTTTCCCTCTGGTTGGCATACGGGGCCTGTTGTAACCATGGCCATCATTCAGATGATGCATTTTCTTCTCCCAACTCCTCCCAAGACCAGAGAAGGTTAGGAATTCCAGAGAACCACTAGTCCCAAACAGTATCTCTCTGCCAGGCTTAATCTTCTGATCCAAGCAAAAAAGTGAAATTGACAAGTTTCTTCTTTCCCTAGAGCCCAGACTCATGGTCCAAAAATAAATCTAACTATCTTGGCATCTGGTTTGTCCAGTTTCAGTCATACTCCTTGTCTTGCGGGACTTCTATTTGCAATGGGATATTTCAGTAGATGAAAAGTAATACTTTCTGTCACAGATTGAGGTCTGAAGGCCTCAAATATTTAGTACTAACTAGAAATGCCAGTTTCAAATATATCTGTGTTTCTGGCCAGGTGTGGTGGCTCACGCCTGTAATCCCCACACTTTGAGAGTCCGACGTGGGAAGATCACTTGAGGCCAGGAGTTTGAGACCAGACTGGCCAACATGGCAGAACCTCATCTCTTTTAAAAATAGAAAAATTAGCTGGGTGTAGTGGTGTGCGCCTGTAATCCCAGCTACTTGGGAGGCTGAGGCAGGATAATTACTTGGGAGATGGAGGTTGCAATGAGTCAAGATCATACCACTACCCTCCAGCCTGGGCAACAGAGCGAGACTCCATCTAGAAAAAAAGAAAATATATTTATCTGTGTTTCTCTACAATCCAGAGGATTCTTTCCTCATCTCATATTCAGAATAGAACCTTTTCATTCATTTTTAATAAGCACTTTGATGCATCTCTTTCTATGCCTTGCACAATGTTCATTATTATGAGGGATCTTTGGATGCACACCCAGCCCTCTGAGAGGTTACCATCTAATTTAAGACACAGACCAGAGAGATACCTGGGGACCATATTTAAGAGTAAAGCCAGCTGGGCGTGGTGGATCATGCCTGTAATCCTAGCACTTTGGGAGGCCGAGGTGGGCGGATCACGAGGTCAGGAGATCGAGACCATCCTGGCTAACACAGTGAAATCCCATCTCTACTAAAAATACAAAAAATTAACCAGGCATGGTGGCTGGTGCCTGTAGTCCCAGCTACTTGGGAGGCTGAGGCAGGAGAATGGTGTGAACCCAGGACGCAGAGCTTGCAGTGAGCCAAGATTGAGCTATTGCACTCCAGCCTAGGTGACAGAGCGACACTCCATCTCAAAAAAAAAAAAAAAAGAGTAAAGCCTGCGGTGTGTTGTAGGAACTCAGAGTGAGATGACCCTCTGTAGGCCTAATGGGCAGGAAGGTCTCATGATGGAGGTAGATCCTGAATGAGGCTCTGGAGCAGAGCGCTTCTATAATACAAATATATCCTGATTTCTATTTCTTCATTTGTTACAACAGCTACCAACAGAAAGAGGTACACTGTATCTAAGGTCCAAGACTTTTGTCAAAAACAATAGTGAACTTAGAAGCTTGAGACATCAAGATTCCTGGGTTCTGCTTTTAGATTTATGACTAACTTGCTGTAACCTTAGCATTAGGCTAAGGTAAGTATTATTAGTCCCACTGTGCAAATGAAGTTTACCCGCAGACATTTAACCTTACCAAAGTCACTCCTTAAGCTTTAAATACACATGACAAAAATAATTCGAGTGACAAACAGTTTAGAAATTTAGTTCTCTCTTTGGTACACAAACTCCATTCAAAGCTTCAGGCAGCTTCCTCCAACCCAGGCTCCTTCTATTATTTCTCTGTCATAATAAGCAGCTCTACCTGGTGGTACAAGAAGATTGCTTAAGCCCCAGCCATCATATCTATTTTCCTGCCAGCAGGAAGGAAAAAGAGGAAAGAAGAGCATGCCCCTCTTTTTAAGGACACCTCCCAGAAGTCACGTTTCATTTTGTCTCATTGGCTAGAACTTGGTCATATAACCACATTCAGCAAAAAAGGGCTTTAAAAAATGTAATCCTAATTGGAGGTGACCACACGGGTATAGCTAAAATTCAAAGTTTGTGTTACTAAGAAAGGATACAATTCTGGGACACAATTAGAAGTACAGGCCATCCTCATAAGTCGTCCTTGAGTTGCCAAACAAAAGGAGGCCACAGCATTTAAGCTGTGGTTTACCTCTAGTTCTGCAGACCCAGCTCCCAGGTACTCAAAAATATTAATGGCTCTTATGGACTGAATATGTCTCCCTGAAATTCATATGTTGAAAGTCTACCAGCTTCATGTGATGGCCTTAGGAGGTGAGTCCTTTGGGAGATGATTATGATTAGATGATGATGATATACAGTCAAAAAAAAAAGGATTAGGTGAGGTCATGAGGGTGAAACCCTCATGAAGGAGATTAGTGCCCTTGTAAAAGTCACAGGAAAG